AGGCATTGGTGCACATAAATTGACTAGGTATACAAATATTCTTCCAGGCACAATATTCCGTATAATCTTCGAGATTAAGGACACGGACGTAATCACAATCTACTGCCAGGGCAAGTTCCATTCAAACTTCTTGCCGAAGATACCGTTGACAATGGCACGTTACATCGTCGCGTGGGCTGATGTCGAGAGAGTCACACACTGCTACTTCCATCTATCTTCTAAGGTAAGATTATTAAAAATTAGAACTAAAGGACAATGTCAAATGTTGGTTTTTTTATGGAATAGAAGGCAAACGAGCAGACGGATCACCTGATGGTAAGCGATCAGCACCGCCTATGGACACCCGCAACACCAGAGGAGTCACGGGTGCGTTGCCGGCCTTTTAAAAAGTAATACGCTCTTTTCTTAAAGGTTTGAAGGTCGTATCGGTTTGGAAATATGGCCGACGACAGATCCTTCCACAGTTTTGCTGTGCGAGGCAGAAAGCTACGTGAGAAATGTGGCCTACCAAAGTGCCAACCATCTATATGATGGGGGTGCGCATATGCTGTCGTAAATGTGGATGCAGTTACTTATTGTATATCTAGCTAGAGCTGTCGGTTGAAGTTAATAAAATTGTTAGTGTATAAGTACCTACTGTAATTCAAAACAACTGTAACTAATAATTATTTTCAAAACTGTCTACCAAACTATAATCTTGCCACATAAAAATATTTTTGCCAATTATGTGTAGCTTTGTTTTGCAATTTAATAAAAAGAATTTTGCATATAGCCGCCGGTAGGTGGTGACGAGGCTGCTGCAGCTACAGGCGTCTTCCAACCTCAGTCTCCTCGGCCCACGATGGTTGTCAGCGATATCAAACGATGGTAAGACTAACCTATCACTATCATCATCGTCGTCATCAACAACCAATACATGACTTTTTTATGGCATAATCCGGTAAACTAGCAGACGTAACACCTGATGGTAAGCAAACGGCGTCGTCCATGGCCTTTTGGTAATTAGGAGTTTGAGGATCGTTGGGGATTCAGGGATTGGGGAGATTGGGGAAGGGGAGGGTAATTGGGCCTCCGGTAACCTCACTCACACGACGATACACAACGCAAGCGTTGCTTCACGTCGGTTTTCTATGAGGCCGTGATATCACTCCGGTCGAGCCGGCCCATTCGTGCCGAAGCATGGCTCTCCCACTTAGAAAGACTCATATGACTTATAAAGTAACACTATTAGTGAAAATGATCTTTCGGAAATAAGTTTTTCGATTATCCTTTGTAGGGTGCCTTTAAATAGAGAAGTAGTATCAGTCTTTTAAAATTTTATTCTTTAGAATAATTTCATTATTTTATTCTCAGCCAAAGGTTACACAAGAAGTCAGCCCCAGGTTCGCCACAGTTACACTCGTCGAACGAGAGTTCCGACGATGAACAACAAAAGGCCAGGCCGAAAACCGACGGCCGAGCGGACCGATACTTTTACGACACTTTAATGTGCCAGCCGTCTGATCACCCTAAATTCGGCTCACCAGAATCGATGAAACGGAGAGATCCAACCTTAGCTAGAAGTAAAATAGATTATAGTAGAAAGTTTAGAGAGGTATCAGACACTGAGAAAAATGACAGTGAAGATTATTCAGAGGATATAGCGTCCAAAAACATGGATTCTTCAGTCGCAGAATCAGACGATGTACTACAGGAGCTCGGACTAAAGAAACGATCTAGACGCGGCAAGTTCGCGCCGTTCGCTCAAGTAGTAAATTTTATGGGGAAGACGACGAGGAGAAATTAGTGTTGTGCTATGGTAATCGACTATATTACAACTGGTAGTCGATCTTTGTTCTTTTATGTTTTTTGTAGTTTTGTTTGTATTTGTAATAGTGATGTCCTTTTTGGAGCTGTAGACTTTAGTATTCTCTTTGTTTTTCTTTTTATGTTTGTTACAAAGTTATAGAGGATTATGAGTGTCGTCTTAATGGATTTAAAACGTAAATGTTAACTTGTAATATTAGAAATAACCGTTTGGTTTAAAAAACATTTTGTATGTAACAGTGTTTAAATAAATGTTTCAAAAATAATTCATAGATTTTTATTTTTGTTTACAATTAATATTTACAATTCGTTACAAAAATAGGTACAGGATAAAATTATTGTAGAATATAAATAAGTGTATCACTTAAACAAACTAGCTGTACAATTAAGATAAAAAGGGCCAAAAATATGTCAGCAGAAACGTAACTTTTGACACACGAAAATGACCACTAAGGCGAAGTACTTACGTTGATATTCATTTCCACTGACATTTCCTTAGCTGTACGAAATCATTTGAGATTTGGTCGATCAAATCGACCACTATTACAATTAACAAAACGTCATTTTCATAAAACATGTTTAACTGAAATTGCAATTTCGACAATTAATTTTAATTAAAATACATACATACTTATTACATCCATAATTTGCATAATCATTCGAATGTCGGAATAAAGCAAAATGCGAAATTCTGAAATTGATAATTCGAAATTGTAAATCGATATTTTAAAACAATATTTACAAATTGACACACAAAATTACAACTCAAATAAGGAATAATCCGAGCGTACGGCGCGTCGCATTCCGCGCGCGCCTCAAAGAGCCATCAGACCCCCACGGGCCTAACAGGGCTGATGCCGATACGGAGCCGCGGAGAACCTGACGGGTTACCGGGGCTTGGGCTCGAAGTGTATGAGCAAGAACGGAGTAGTTTTTAGTCAGTAAGAGTCTGACACTCCTTCCCGCCTCACCCAGATGGGAGAAGTCATCCTATGATATTCCCCTCTTAAAAAAAAGAATAATACCACAGCTCGCCATCAATTACGATTCTTACATACCTTTAGCATCCATTACATTTATTCATTATGTCTACAAAACCGACACATTTTTGTGAACAGATAGAATCATCCAATGACTTCTCCCGCCTTGAATTCGGCGAGAGAGAGAGTGTCAAGACTCTTACTGACTAAAAACCGGATGATCCGCAAGGTTGTCCGCAGCCCCAGAAAGGTGGCCTCTTGTTACCGAACATAAAAACTCCTTTTTATGACATATGCGAACAACAGACATCTGAACGCGAAATAAAAAAACCATTGTGACCAAGTGATACATTTGGCAATAGACAGACAGATACATCTTACATGATATTTTACAAAGATTCATGAATCAGCCACAAGACGTCGACTGCTGAACATAGGCCTCCTCCTACGACTGATCAGTCGGTTGAATGCGACCTACATCCAGCAGCTTCATAAAGTATATTTCATAAATAAAAAAAATGCAATTAAAATTCCGTCATTCGAATGATATTTCGAACATTTTCGTTCAAAATCGACTAATAGTGTTGCCACACTAAATTATTATTTACATTTTCTAACGTATACACCCTGATTCCATTTGGAACCGAAAATATCTCCGGAAATATACATCCGAAGTTAGAATAGTAGATATTATCTATATTTTTTATCGAATTTCATCCAAATTAGTTCAGCTGTTACGTGTAATAGACTAACAAACATTCAGATTAAAATTTTTACATTTATCGTAACCAATATCATTGAGTATCAATAAACTATCTACTTGTAGATTTTTTAATTAGAGGTAGAACATTTACTATGGAACTAATTTCAATATTCTGTAGTAAAAAATCTACAGTTAAATAGGTTCATGAAACTGGTCGTAACTGAACATCAGGTCAACATAATATACCATCTACCAATGAATTCATAACTCTAATAAATTTGTGATAACGACGAAAACGCAATAAAGAAAATTGACAGACTGTAGCAAGTTGGCATGCTGTTTTAAGATTACCATGTCTAGGTAGATAGTGTAATAATTTATTATTGAGAAAAATAATATTAGATTTTTTTTATACACAAAACAATAGTATCGCGAGGTGTATGCAAATCTCCCCGTTTTTTAAGGGAGTTTTAACTTTATAAACAGGCAACATTATACGTATGACGTTTTGAATGTGTACGTGTAGGCACGTACGCCAGTATACAAAATGTATTTGGAATGGTCGATGGTGGTAAATGAGTAGACGGATCTCCTGAGGGTATGCCACCAGCGTCGTCGTCTATGAGTACCAGAGGTAAATGCAACACTATACCTAGACACGATAATAAAATTGTTCTAAAACCAAAGTATTTACAATTGACATCAAACTGTTCCTTTCCAGTAAATATCAAATAATTTATGTGCGACAAAAAGAAAAAAATAGATTCCAATTCGCAGTTCAGTTTAAGTGCTAAATTTGGGGTAATTACAAAAATCAAAATTTATAAGAGAACAACTCGTTACGTAAGTGAACGTTGGTCGCCATGACATTGTAGTTATGACGTCACATCTATGTAAACATTGATAAAATGTAGACGCTTGATACGCTGTCATTTAAATATCAACTTTGAACTTGTATATTTAAGTTACATCTATTTGTCGCATAAAAATTCTTAATCAAGCCGAATCATAAATCCAAGGTTTTTTTTTCCGTAACTACAATAGTATATTCTAGAAAACTGTGATAAAAAGCCTTATAAAGGCTTTTAGAAAACACATCGTTCCGAAGACAAGAGAATATCGACTCTACTGACATGTGAAGTAAGGTTCCTTATTGAGCGGTAAAAATTTTTGCTACTATTTAATTTTTTTTTCGTGATCGTTTTTAATAATGTTCTACTTTTGTTTGCGTGCTGGCAAAAAGGGCAAAGAAATAAGATTATTTTTTATTGAATTAATAAAAAAATGTAATTGTGCTTCAAAAACCTGTAACAACTATGATATACTTTAATTGAGAAATGATCCTGAAATCTTTTGTTCAGAAGTCGCTCTTGTGACCACTCAAAAACTAAAAGTCGCGGGTTACTCACGTGTATATACTGAGAAAAGCTCTACTAGTTTCGAACCACAGAGGGGTTCTTCCTCATGAGCAGCGTGCGCGGTCGCGGCGATGTCGCGCAGTTACTGATAGGTTAGTAATTTAGTATGTCTTACGATAGTTTTAATAAAAACTCAAAAAAATGTATTTTTTTAAAACCATCTCTTTTCTTGCCCTTTTCGACTTGCTTTGCACATTTTTCTATACTATTATTATTTTTATAACACAATTCCATTTTTAATCTCCAACGAGATTTTGAAAAAATTGTATACATCACATTACGTATTTTAGTCAAAAACATTATTTTGAAAAGACGGTCTCATTGGTCTTTCGGAAATACCAAGTAAGTGCTGTTTGGTTAGGATGATAGAATCTCAATGATTACTTTCTCATGATTTGAACTTAAGGTCTTATACTCAGTAGACCAAAAGACCGATGGGAATACATCAATAAGATTTTCTAGTTGATAGTTGAGTAGACGAAAAGATTAATAAACCGCCGCTACTATCAAAAGAATTTAAGGTCTATTGGTGAGTAGACCAAAATACCAATAAAGCTGTTTTAGTAGACACATAAAATTTGAATACACAAGAAGACCAAATGGTCTTTTGAAAACAGTAACCGTCTGATACCTTATAAGAAGACTAAAGAAAATGTTACTTAATTGTAAATGCGAAGGCTAGTGTGTTTGTCAACATTCTTTAGTACTTAAATTGCTGTGTTGATTTTGATAAATTTTGTAAAAAGATAAAGACCAAAAGTAAAGAGATAGACATACTTAGTTATTTTTCATTTTAACGAAATACCTACATGTCGTTTAGTATAAGTTAAATTCCATCCAGATCTAATCAGCTATTCTAGCCTTGAAGTTCATAAGCATCTAACTAGACCTTCGCATTTACTATAACAATCAATTAACAACTTTAGTCCTCCTACAATAAGAACAGTTCTACCACACCTCAAATTCAATTAGGGCTTCCTTGGAGAAAGTCCTCAATGCATTCAGCTTGGTCTTCCTCTAATCCAATGAGGACGAGTTGGTTCTTGGAGACCATGAAGAGAGACTCTCCATCTATCTCATTGTCTGATAGAATTGATGCTGCGTCTGTCCAGCCAAATTTGAGGAGGTGGGTCGATAGGTCTGTGGTCTGGGGAAAAGAAAAAAAAATAATTTAGATACATGGAGACTGTAAGATCCGGAGATCCGGCTCGACGTGCAGGAGTAGGAACGGGGTGGTTTTTAGTCAGGAAGAGTCTGACACTCTCCCGCGTCAGCCAGGCGGGAGAAGTCAATCGATGATTTTCCCACCTTAAAAAAAGACCCAGCGGTCAATTAGGCATAAGCACCAGTCAAAAAACAACACTAGTTAAGTAAGTATAGGTAATATAAGTTTTTCTCACCGTCCAGGTTTTGACAAGAGAATGCTGTAGTCTTCTGAAGGGATTCAAATTTTCGTTGTCATTTATGATTTCTTCTTCTACATCCATTGCAGTAGGCTCGGTGCTCGTCTGTTCTGGTGCTTGTGAAGTGGTCATCAATGGGAAATGTTTTTGGATCTGCAATTAAAGGTTTAGGATATAAATTACTTAAAGCCTCCATGTTTACTGGAGAACTAATCGTTTCGCTTATTGTGATCCAATCCCCCAAATCGACATACATACATCCTATAACCTCACTGCATGTCTCCCATAGAGGTAGGTAGAGACTATAGATTGCCATTTTGCTACAATTCTTCGAAATGTACAGTCTTTAAGAGGCTGACAACGACTTTGTACATCCTATAGTGTTGCGGATATTCATGGGCGGCGCAGATTATTTACCATCAGGTGAATTTGATGATTGTGGGGGATTCGGGGATTGGGGAAGCCTCCCTCGAAGAAGGGGGTAATTGGACCTCCGGTAACCTCACTCACACGACGAAACACAACGCCAGCGTTGTTTCACGTCGGTTTTCAGTGAGGCCGTGGTACCGCTCCAGTCGAGCCGGCCCATTCGTGACGAAGTAACGCTTCCCACTCTCTCCTTTAGAGGAGGTCTAAAGTCCAGTAGGAGAATGTCACAATGTCATGGTAGTTTCCAAAATATTTTAACAATATCTAATTTAGCTGGTACTAGCATCTTTACTTACTGGGAAAGGATGACTCGACTCCTGAATAATGAATCCATCAATAACATGAGTTAGAACATGTTTCTTATCTCGTTCTCCTTCACTCTCTTTCTTTGACTCATACACTACTCCTTGAAGTCCATCACTAGTTCCTGGTGCTACATCATCAGACTGTTGCTTCACAGCTACGGAGAAATCATTTTCACTGTCAACTGTATCAGTATTTTTTGGGAATTCTGGTATATCGTTAGCTTCTGTATCATTATTAATATTATTTACGTCATTGGTAGTATGATTCGTTTTTATGTAAACTCTTATGTTGTTATTTGTTTCTATATTGTCATTTACATTTAATGTACCATCTCCATTATCGTTTGTAGCATATTTATCTAATAACAGACGTCTTAAGGTAACGTAAGCTTCTTTGAAAACAATTTTTTCTCCTGCGTTTTCGTGTTCTTTTATGGTGATGTTGTTAAGTGTTCTCTCTTCATCATTTTCAGTATCTATTTCTATTATTACTTTTCCATGATTTTCAGGTACTGTTTCATTGTTATTGGACGCTGGTATATTTTCATATACAGTCGATGGTCCGTCTTGAAATTCATTGTTACCACCATCTGCTTGTACAACATAATTCTGATGTAAAAGTCGTTTTAGATGAACATAGGCATCTTTGAAAACGATTTTTTCTTCTTCATGAGCGTCTTTTTCGATAGTTTTATCAATTTCTTCAACATTGTTTTCGTTGCCGTTTTCATTGTCGTGTATCTCCGTCACAATAATATCGTTCCTTTCCAAACGTTCGATTACCTTTTTCAGTTTTTCTATATTACTCTCAGCTGTTGCTATGTCTTTGTCAAAATTCTCTCCTTGGTGTATATTTAGACTATGTTGACCTGTATTCTTTGTGGCTACTTGTTGACTATTTATTTTGTGTCTTATTATACTGTGCTTAGGTCTATAATTGAATGTATTTGGAATCTGTACATGTACATCAGCATAAATATTAGTATCTATATCTTTATTTAATATATCAACTGCCGTACAATTCCTTGTATTCTTTGGATAAACTAAATCAAATCCTGGTTTAACAAAAGCATTAATATATTGCTTCTTTTTCAAAAATCGATTATAAAACGATCGATTACCGACTTTCGACAGTTTTAACTTTGATTTTCTAGAATATCTATTGTAATATGAACGATTATTGACTCGATTGTGAGAGGAACGATTGTTAGTATGTACTCGGATGAAATTCGATTTTATTTCCCAATCGTAATCGATTAGGATCGATTCCTCCCGATTATCTGATGATCAGCTTCTGACGAATGCGCAGATAACGTCTGCATTTTCTTCTGTGACTCCTATGCTAACTAGTTGGTTCTTTGACACTAAGAATAAGGACTCTCCATCTATTTCATGGTCCTGAAATACCGACACTGTGTCTTTCCAATCGTATTTCATCAGGTGACTTGAGAGGTCTTCCACCTGCGGAGTTTGGAGAAAAAATTTTGAATTAGTCTTTGAAAGTCAAGTCATGGGTTTGGGGTCCTAAGAGATGTGATGATACCCTAAAAGCCTAAAAGCCTAAAACACTTGGTCCGACTCTGGGATCGAACTTCAATTAAACTATTTTATTTTATTTTTTATTTTATTAACGTTATTTCCTCGCATGTATATTGTATAAGACTAGATTAAGTAAACATTACGAGTGTTATTATTAAGACTTTTTATTACTATAAAATCTGAGCGAACTGTAATTCTAAATGTGTTCTATGTTGTTTTTAATAAATTTTATTTTATTTTTTATTTTTATTATTTATAAACTAGGAAACTGTTCCGACGATTATAGTACACAAGTATGTCCTAACACAGGTGAACTCTGTGTTCCATCATTGTTATCTGCCTGACCAAAGAGATAGGGTAGGTGTAAGATGGCTATATTTATAAAACAATCTAGCTGACCCGGCAAACTTTGTAGCGTCTCAAAAACTTTTAAGTCTTCTCTGGACTTCCATGAACATTTCAAGACTAAACTTAGCCAAATTGGTTCAGCTATTCTCGAGTCTTAGCCAGACTACCGAACGGAAATTCATTTTTATTTATATGTATGTATAGATATAGATAAATCCACGTTTTTCATAGTTACAGAATTAACTGAAAATCGTGGGTTACTCGCGTGAATATACCTACTGAGAAAAGCTCTACTAGTTTCGAACCACAGAGGGGTTCTTACTCATGAGCAGCGTGTGCGGTCGCGGCGACGTCGCGCTTAGTTAATTTAATATGTCTCACGATAGGTATTATAAAAAGATACAGAATTTTTGGACGTTTTACCAATTTCAGACAAAATTCTAGTAGTACTGCTCTCTGATAAACCTAGGCATCGAACCAGAGTATATTCCACCTGAATAAATTACTAGCTTGACTGTCTCGACAAAGGTGGTTCGACTCCCCAGTCGGGAAAAGTAGTACTGGATTTAAAAAAATATTCTCTGTTATAGCACGGAGTTTGGAATTGTACCCGGTATATGGCAACAGGCTTACCCCCTATTACATGGGACTCATAACATAAATAGTGAAAAGTGGGTGTTACATTGTACAGTGGCATTAAGTGTCGTAATGTAAACCTCTGCCTACCCCTTTGGGGGTTAAAGGCGTGATGTAATGTTATGTCGAATTAGTTGTCAAACATGAACATTATATCGAATAACTTACCGTCCAAGATTTCACTGTAGTATGCTCTAAATCAGCAAATGGATTCGTCTCCTTGACATCCTCTTTATCTTCTTCTTCTTTCTTCTTCTCACAATGGAGTAGAAGATAGTGAAACGGCAGTAATTGACCGTCTACTTCTGGATTCTTCATTTCTTCTTTCATGCATTCTTTCAGGGCGTCTGTTGCTTCAGATTCCGCCTTCAGGTTGGCATGTAGTGTCTTCTCTATTAGCGGTTTCCTGATCTGGAAAAGGGTAGAAAGTATTTTTTTATTAACAGTTTTTTTCATCATTGTATCATTGTGTTGGTCCTTCATTCAAACATACGTCACATTCAGACATGGAACAGTTTTAGATCACACAAAGAGTATTTTTCTATTTTTAACTGATCCGGGAGTCAAACCCGAGTTAGAGAAAGACAAACAAACACACATACACAAAGCCGTGCGCTGCTTTAGGCACACTCACGGCGCAGGCGCCCGCGTGGCGTGCTGTTTTTAACCGACTTCAAAAAAAGGAGGAGGTTCTCAATTCGACCGTATATATGTTTCTTTTTTATGTAATCTCATAGATCAGCGCTGCATGCAGCGGGTCGCCCGTCGCACCCTGATCTATGAGATTATTGTCGGAATACTGAAACGCTACTCAATTTTAAGTCGTGAAATCCATCCATCCATCCCGTTGAAATCCATCCCCTAAATTTGGTCATACAAAAGTTGTCTCTAAACATTGGAAATAAGGTCTATAATGTAATGTAATATTAGTGGAAAGCGGTCACCGGTGACCGCTTGGGGATTTATGGGTTAAGTATAGTTCTATCTCTAAAAATTCTTTGTAAAATGACAGAGATGGCACGGTATTTGAGCACGACTTAAAATTGAGTAACGTTTCAGTTTCAGTTTTTAACGGCATATGTGACACGTGTCTACATGCCTAACGCAGGGCAAGGGCTTTGTATGGAAGTTAAAAATAGAATTTCAGAACCAAACTAAATACCGAAATTAACAACAGATTGATGTTTTTAACAGAAAATCTATAGAAGCAATGGCAAACAAAGATCTATAGGTATGAATGTAAGGTATGAATTTCAGCCGCAACCGTAAGTGACTCTCACTCTCTGTCCCTCTCTTTCTCCAAGAAATCAAATTCTGAACTCACCGGAAAAGCGAAGTTAGATTCTTGAATAACATATCCATCAACTACATGTGTCAGTATATCTTGTTTTTGCGGATATCTTTCAGCAATGTCCATATTTTCATCCTTTACTTCAGTACCTTGATCCTTTGATTCATCTATCACTAATTTCCCGTCCTGTATATCAGGACTCTTATTTTCTTCTTCTCTCTTAACAACATCTTTCGAAACATCATTTTTGACTTCAATAACTTTCTTATCAGTCACAATATTTACATCAACCTTTTGTGTTTCAGTCATTGGTATACTTGCAGCTTTTTCAGGCTGAACTTTATCAACTGGCGGTTCAGTCATTACCGCATCTTTATCAGTCTGTACCTCATTATCAGTCCTAATATCAGTCGCATTTTGAACACTTTCTGGCGTTTTATTCTCTACAATTTGTGTTGGTAAAGCATCGTTTATTTTGTCTTGTAACACTCTACCTCGTGCTTGTGTGAACACTGTGTTTCTAATTAATTTATCGCTCTCTGTAACAGGAGCTATCACAGGTCGTGAATCATTTATAATTTTTTTGTTAGCATCTGATGTTTCTGGTGCTTCTACCACCATCAGCTGTGGGGCGGGTGTCATTTGGACAACAGTACTATTCGGTTTGACATTATTTGCATTCGTTTTACTGTGCTGGGGACTCGTGTTCGTACCTATTTCATTACATATCTTAGTGATAGTTATACCCTGTTGTACGTTCTTGTATATCGGTTTAGGTGGCGGTTGCGGTGCCATCTTGTGTTCTATTTCATCTGGAGATTCGCTTTTTCTTTTCCTACTAACATTCGGGTTATTTAAGAAATTTGTATTCGTCGCTATATTTGTTACTACAGTGTGACTATTTACTCTCTCCTGGTTGTATTGTGTTGGTGGTGGCGGTGTTTGCACCGGTATGTGTAGAGGTTGTTGTTGTACTGGTATATTTGGTTGTGGTTGCATTTTAGGTACATTTGGACTCTCGAATCTTCGCCTCGGTTGTATGGGTCGGCAGTTGTAGTTCTGAGCAAAGTTTCTCACTGCAGGCGGTGCTGTGCCGACATTATTCATTACTTTGTTCGCTTCTGATGGTGGTTGCGGAGGTTTCATGGTAATATTCTGTATATTCTGTAGATTTTGAACATTCTGAACACTTTGAACATTTTGTTGTACATTTGGTATAGTTTGTACGTTCTGGACATTCATCATATTGCTACCCATTATCTGTGGTCTAACAGGATTCACATTTTGCGGCATTCTTTGCCCAATATTTTGTACAAATGTTTGTCCAGCATTTGCTTGCTGTATTTGTAAGTTTTGCATGTTGGCCATCGCTTGCATGTTTTGTATCTGGTTTAAGGACATGACGGGCCTGGCTATGTTCATCTGCTGGTTTATCTGTGGTCTTACGTTCATGTATACTTGCCTCTGAACGTCAGCAGCTTGCGGCTGGTTCTGTACTTGCCTTTGTACGTTCATCTGATTTTGTATCATCTGTGTGTTTGTCTGCATCTGTACTGGGTTTGGTGTCGCTGTTATGTTCCTGTCATTTGGCTGTATACTTGGTTGGACTGTTTGCACCATGTTTGGCACAATGTTGGCTAATTGCATCCCTTGGTTGTTTTGCTGGTGATTCTGAGCCAACATGTGTTGTTGGAGTTGGAAGTTGGCGAAGTTTTGTTGGAGGTATAATTGGTTCTGGTCTATTTGTGGTGGAACCTGGTGGACCACGTTGTTGGGCAGCTGTTGGACGTAGACCACTGGGTTCGGTGCTGGTCTGTTCATCCATGGTGGTGGATTCTGTGGGTTGATGAAGAAGGTCTGGTTTGGCTGGATCTGATCTCCTGGAACAATTTTATTACTATTTACGGTCTGTATTGGTGTGTCACATTGAAGATGAGAGAAACTCACATAAATTTTTACGTGTTTTGTTTTAGGAAACTAAACTTTTCATTTTTCTGTATAAGGTTGAGTTTGGTTTGAAACTTTGTCTTTTCAAAATACATATTATCATTGTATGCCTTTTATGTAGAATTGTTTTTGCTCTTTAGTTGTGTCTTTATGCGGTAATGTAAAACAAACTTCACTCCACAAACATTAACGTTTACTTTCGCCTGAACTTTGGCGATTCTTCAGTCAAGTTAGAAGCACAAAGTTTACATTCTGTAATCAATACTCACCAGGTTGGACCAGTACTTGCGTCTCGTACACGAATCGAACAGGGCACAACACCATCTGCTGCTGCATCGCTTGTTGACCCCTGCACAATATAGGATTGAAAATATAGACATCTATATTCTATATGGGCAAGCGAGCAGACTGATCACCTGATGGTAAGCTATCAGCGTCGTCTATAGACACCTGGAACACGAGGAGTTGCAAGTGCTTTGTCGCCCTTTTGGGGATTGGGAACTTTATAATGAATGAAGTATATGACTGTCTACTGTCTGCCTGATTACTGCCTCGGTGGCCGAGTGGTCGCAAGTGCAACTGCCGGACAAGGGGTCTCGGGTTCCATTCCCGGGTCGGGCAAAGTATTACTGGGTTTTAAAACAGTTCTCAGTAGTAGCATGGGGTCTGTTGTGCCCGGTATATAGCAATAGGCTCACCCGCTATTACATGGGACTCATAACATAAGTAGTGAAAAGTGGGTGTTGCATTGTACAGTGGCATTAAGTGCCGTAATGTACACCTCTGCCCCTTCGGCGATAAAAGGCGTGATGATATGTTATGTAAATATTAATAAATTAACGATACAACTTACCCTATGGGTTCCGCCTGGTTCATTGGTTGCTGCATCTGTAATCAAACAAACAGACAAATTAATATATTTATGAAAGAAAAACTACTTATTCTTGCGCAGAGCACACATAACATAACTGAAAACTGACTAATGACTGCACGGTTGGTGCGGTGGCTGGGCAACTGGCTGCCGTGCAACGTGTCGCGGGTTCGAATCCCGCACGGAACAAGACTTTGTGTGATCCACATATTGTTGTTTCGGGTCTGGGTGTCATGTGTATGTGAACTTGAATGTTTGTAAACGCACCCACTATACAGGAGATAATCCTAGTGTGGGGCAACGTTTCTTTTTTAAATAAAAAAAAACTACAAAAAATATAATATAGTTAATATAAAGCGAGAGTACACCAAGGTAGGTATCATAGAAATATTAGAGATATACATATAAATTAAAAATACCAAGGTTTAAAGCTATAGAAAAATGAAGTCTTGTCCATAGTCCACAGACAGTTATTTGGTATTGAAATGATAGAATACGTATTATCTACTATTATCTGTGGTCCATAGACAAGGAACACGATATCAGAGGCCTTAGTACGAGTTTGTTTTACGTTTAAAGTAATCGTAACGAGTTCGCGTTCGGCGCTCCGATTGGTTGCTTCATTGGCGCCGGCCAATCAGAGTGCCGAACGCGAACTCGTTACGAATACTTTAAACGTAAATGAAACTCATACTAAGGCCTCACTCATACTGGTGTCCAGTCGTTTGTCATTCAAGCAGAAGGTTCGGGAGCTACTTTTGAAGAGATTGGCAGAGTCGTAACTATCAATATACTATGTATAATTATGTTAAGTCTAAAGTATATTTAACTCGTCGAGTACCGGTTTTGTAGACACAATTATAGAACAATAGGTTGCGGTCACCGGTGACCGCTTGGTGTTTGACAGTTTAATATACAGTGAAACTTGGTTAAGTGGGACCTGGATAAGTGAGAAACCTCCATAACTGGAACTCGTGCTGAGGTCCCAACACTTTGGCACTGAATTACCTCTGTTAGTGGGACGAGGTAAACCTCTATATCTGGGATTTATTCTTTCGATTTATCATCATAGTTACCTCTATAACTGAGACAGCGAATAAATTTTATATGCATAAACCTCTGTAACTGAGATAACATTGTCTGTTTACTCATTCTTATTCTACCCACAAATTCCACACGTAATTTCAAGTCCACCTCTAATCGAACCCTCTGTAAATGAGACAGATATTTATTTATACCTGTATATCTGAGACACTGGGTAAGTGGATTACCTCTTTAAGTGAAACGACATTGCAGGTCCCTTGATGTCTCACTTAACCAGGTTTCAATGTAATTGTGTAAGTTTATTGTTATGTTATATATGTACACGTAAGTTTATATAGGGATTTATTTTATGTAAGTCTATACTATCCTTTTTTATGTATTTCTGTTTAGTCCTAAATACGCTTGCTTCTTGCATCGACCATTGTTTTTGTCTCTGCATCACCCAAAGGTCTGGCTGGAGGAGAATGCCCTAGGCATTAAGCCCACCTTGTACATTGGTGTGTGCATGAAATCTTTTAAATTAAATAAAAACATAAATGGTAAGGTGAGGACAATGATATAATATTAATAGATTTAAAATAATATTTTCGTACACAGACTTGTAACTTGCGACCTTGAGATGTTACATTTACGATTGATTGCGCCTGCGCACCCCTAACCACAAACGGTTGTACAGCTGTAACTTAGCTTTATTTTAGTCATTGTATATTTAAACATGGAACAATTTTTTCCAAAATAAAAAGAAATTGAGGTAACGGTAATCGAACTTCCGAAACGAACCCCGAAATCATTTGTATAAGAGCTGCAAGCACGACTGTTGAGCGTGGGATATCAGGTTGGATACCCGGGTTGAGTAAATTGCATGGTATATTATTTTCTCAGCTATATCACAGAGTTTTTCTACCTCAATAAGGTTTAGCTTATTTCTGTAATATTGGCCAAGTGCGACAAGGGGTCTCGGGTTCGATTGCCGGGTCGGGCAAAGTATTACTGGGGTTTTAATTTTTCTCTTTTTTAAATTCTCGGAGCCTCTCTTTTTTAATAGCCCGGAGTTTGGAATTGTGCCCTGTATATGTCAACAGGCTCACCCCCTATTACATGGGACTCATAACATAAATAGTGAAAAGTGGGTGTTACATTGTACAGTGGCATTAAGTCTCGAAATGTACACCTCTGTCTACGAGATGTTATGAGATATTCACACAAGTTCTTGCAATTAACATTAATTTTGATTGTTGAACCGGAAAATAAGTTATTTCATAATTATAGCGGTTTTCCTTACTTATCATTACGACTACATTAATTGGGAATAGCAGGATAATAACATTCGTATAGAAGATAGCCGTCTACGTAAAGTTAAGCAAACAATATTGGGTTTTTCAATATCGCAAAACCTAGGTAGAACATTTACCTATAGATACTAAGGTTGGAACTTATTAATCGTCTAAAATTATTCGAAAAGTGAAGTATGTAGCTATGCTAAGCTAATTTAAGTGTGGGAGAGCCATGCTTCGGCACGAATGGGCCGGCTCGACCGAAGTGATACCACGGCCGAGCAGAAAACGGACGTGAAGCAACGCTTGCGATGTGTTTCGTCGTGTGAGTGAAGTTACAGGAGCCCAAATTACCCCCACCCATCCCCAATCTCCTTAAACCGTATATCCTCAACAATCCACAAATTCCTAATCCTCAAAAGGCCAGTAACGCACTTGTAACGCCTCTGGTGTTGCGTGTGTCCATGGGCGACGCCGATTGCTTACCATCAGGTGATCCGTCTGCTCGTTTACCGGCTTATGCCATAAAAGTCTACTTTAAAGGATATTTTTTAGGAGGGAAAATCATCGAATGGCAGGAAAGAGTGTTAGATTCTTACTGACTGAAAACCATCCCGTTCCTACTCCTGCCCTTCAAGCCGGAACCCCGGGCAACCCATTGGCATGGCATGGCATGGACCCCATCCGTAGACTTTAAAGGACTAGTCTGTGAAATTCATAAAATATTTGCTTTTAACAGATACGTAGGTAGATAGGTAGGGTACTATCGAGATTGTCAAGGAGGGACGAAATATCAATAGGGGAGGCTAGGGCTGTATGCATGGTGGACACTGTTGAATTTCAAAATTAAAATGTATTGAAAATGCTATAATATGTCTGGCTCGTTGGTCGAGTTGTCGCAAATAGGACTGAGGTACAAGAGGTTCTGGGCACAATTCTCCGGGTCGAGTAAGTATCAAGTTTTTTTCAGTTTTCTATAATTTTTCGACAATAGTACAGATTTTGGATATGTACTCTTAATACGGCATATTATGTGTGTACGTAGACCGAAATCAGTAGAAGAAATTACGCTCTTTGTCCTTTAAACAATTTGAACAACAATACTTTAACCAGTCCTGAGAAGCACTCGATAATTTGCATCAACAATCAAAAATAAAATCAAATTAAACACAATGTTACCTACCTACTGCATCATCGCTTACCTTCCTAATTATGCTTACCACCTAAGTAATACAAGTATTGAGTATTGAGTATTACCACCAGGCGAGCTACTAGTCAAACGTCGGCCCATCAAATATTAAAAAAAAACAACCTTTATAATCTGAAAAAAAAGTTAATATGGACTCCAAAACAACAAATGAGTACCTACTTATTACTGTATTACATTAAGAAATTGCGTGCCAAACTCAAAGCAGTATGGTTTCCTTACAATTATATCAACCGCAGCCCTGAATTAGCAATAACGAATGACATTAAAAATGTGACAGTCTGTCAGCCTGGTGATTATTATTCCCCTGGGACTCGAACGGTCATCCCCTATCCGCTAGACACGGGGGTATCGTTGCAAACACAAAACTTTGGACACTTATTTAACTGTGTTTTGATTTTTTGATTTAAGCAATGTTATTTTCTTATGATTTGATATATTTTACTGTTTTATACTAGGTACCAGAAATCGCATCATACCTTTGAAATCACCAAAAACGAACTCTCAAATAGGGTAGATGCCTAACTTTTATTTTAATGTCCGTCTGGTAGATTATTTTAAATCATTAGACACGTATTTTTTATTTTCTTACAGATACGAATACTTTCGACGATACATTGATTTGAAATGTCGCGTGACGTCACTTCTATGTACATTTTATACGTAGAAATGACGTTTTAGCCCCCAGTCCTAAACTTTGATTCGTTTTATCTAAGTATTGTTTTCTTATAGGACAAAATAAAAAATACGAGTCTAATATTTTTCATTTTCTACGTGACGGACTAATTACATTACATTTTTAATTTTCATACCCTGTCATCATCCCTATTTTAAATATTGCACCCTATATTCACCTTTTCGTTTCATGCAATAAGGGAGAACTTCATTGGCATTGCTCCAGTATTGCTTCAGTTCACTATGGTTTTCTGCTCGGCCGTGGGTGGTATCACTCCGGTCGAGCCGGCCCATTCTTGCCGAAGCAAGGCTCTCCCACACTTAAATTCTAATTGTTTATACATATTTTTTAAAAAAGGACAACTTCCAAAAAAATGGCATTAAAATTATAATCTAGTCCACAAAGGGAGCACTGTAAATGCACCCTAAAGCAACCTCTATAAAGAAAATTAAACTTTAAATTATGCGTCTATAATTAGCAAAACATCTATACTCCAATTCATCCCTTTCCACCCTTCATGAACACGAATTCATAATTGAACAGACCCTCATATCAAACTATCCCAAACACTCTCATAGACTTTCATCTTTATTACTGGAGTTTAAGGTTGAAAGTTCCATGAAGGTATACGTCAAAATCGTATATCTTAATGTGATGTTGCGACGTGATTTGAATGACAGGAGCAGATCGAACTATCCCTGGCACTTTAAGATATATTCACCCTTACTACAAGATGTTAAGGTTGAAATTCCCTTGAAGGTATAGATCAAAAATGTATAACTTAATATGATGTTGATACGTGATTGAACTACTAGG